TGGAATTATTATCCATATTTTCTTGCAGCTCTCTTAGTAATTTCTCTTTGAGTTATTGTTTTTTTTTTTGTATTACTTTATTTGTAAAGGTTCAATCGAATAAACTTTACAGAACCAAGTTATCATTTGCGTTTTACATAATTAATGTCTTAAATCTAGAGTTAAAGGAATTCAACCCATTACTCGCGGTCGTCTCGAGGTTAGTAGAGATTTACACCCTAAAACAAAGAATTTGAGAGGTACGTTCAAAATCCATGAAGGTACGCTATTGATACACTACGAAAAACATAATTGTATACAATTTTGCGAAAAGTGTCCTGCTGGATAGATTGACATTCATATTCCATAAGAATTCTTCCAAGAATTCCTTGAGAAATTTCCCAAAAATTCTTCCTCAATTCTCCTCAAATTCATTTGTCACTCTCATGATAATTCTGTTGACAATGCTTGAAGAGTCAGATTTGGGTCCTTGTCCAAGAGACATGATTTTTTGTTTAAATTTGGTAAAAGAATTGTTGTTCTTGGTAGAGTGCAGTGGGAAGTGTGCTGGTTGGAAATCATGTAAAATACAATATTTACAATCCTTTCAGGAACGTCATTCATCCGGAATGGTTTCTTTGCTGTCTTTTTCGTGCTGATGTTTAATCTTAGTCATTGTCGTCGTCTCTTCACCGATGACCGTAAGGACGTTTCCGGCATTGCTATTGGTCTTGAAAATACGAATTCACCGGAATTTGTACATTAAGGTGAAAGTGATCTAGTGAGTAAATAAAATTTTTAAAATGGATATCTCTGAGACATCACTTCAGATTGGAAAAGTTCCATGGCATGATGTATTTTTACTTCTGGATGAAAAATCATAACTTTTGAGCCGTCATACGGTGTCATTACATAAGGTTTTGGAAGTATTCTTTCTGGAGCCCTGCCGAAACCAGTTTCGGGTATCCAGATGTGGCCAGATCCAACAGTTAGTCCATGGCATGATGGACTAACTGGATGAAAAATAATAAATTTTTAGTAGTCGGACGATACCAGTACATTAGGTTTTGAAAAGGTCCTTTTTGGGTCTTCTTTTGACAGCAAAATGTTCGTTTCCGAATGTTAGGAAAAATCAGGATATTTCAGGTCTATTTTTTATCTAGTTCGTTTATTTGTAAGGCTCAATCGCGTTAGCTTTACGGAGCCGATAATTCATTGTTCTTTGTTTGTAACCAAATTCACTTAATTTTATGTCTAGTAGGAGTTAGGCCGAATACTCACGGCTTACCCGAGGTTAGAGTGGTCCATTGTCGAAGGATCGGAAAAAAGGGAGGAGCTTGGGTAGGGTTTCGTTGTCTCATCAGAGCGATGTCGCCAGTATGAACGGTAGTGTGGTTCTAGATTCGACTGGAGTGATATTTCAGGTCTCTATCATATTTCGTTACAAAATTACAGTTTTTTTGTGGGACACCGCGTCAAAAAAGACCCTAATGCATGCACTAGAAAGGTTCAGGTGAATACTGTGGGGAGTGTGAGGAGAAGTCCTGGAGATTTCCAGATATACTGAGGAAAATTTCAAAAGAGATATCAATGGAAATTCCAATTAAATAAATTGTAATGAAAATTCTAATGAAGTACTGACCATTATTCGGATGATTTGAGGAAAAAAAATTGTGGATAATGCCAGAGAAATTTGTATGAATATTTCACGCTAAAAGTTACAATAATTCCAAGGGAATTATGGCAAAAGACTCCAAAGACATTCTGACAAGAATGCCAAGTGAATCCAGATAATAAATCCATGAAAATTTAGATCAGAGGAATTTCCCTCCCCTTGGCTAGTTTTTAACCTAGACGTTGGTGGGCGGGCCTAATCTTATGCTTCATAGTGGAGCGTTGGAGACGGTTGGTTTAGCTCCGGCATCGTTGGCTCATGCCGTGACAGAATAGCGTCATGAGCATGCGATGAGGATTACTGAGCTTCCCCTCTCTGATGAACCATTGCATAAGAGAACCAAAGTTCTAGCCTGAAGTGATAGTATCACACTTGTTACTCCTTTATTTGAAAGCCGCGTTGTAGTACGCTTACGTATAGGCACTGACGTTGGGTGCGATACTGGCGGGTTTTGCCACAAATCACTCTTATTTTATTTATTTTTACGCAGATAGATTTATTTGGGTTCAGTGCTCCTTCTACTTGCGTGACAAGCTTTCGTTGTTGTTTTCATTGAGGTATTACTCAGGGAACAATGTTAAACATTTTTGTACATGGTATTGCAACTATTCTTATATGTGCTTCATTTTTATTTGGGATAAGTGTTTGAACTATGGCTCGGGATTTCCACTGTGGCGTACTTCTATTGTGACATATCCATACGTAATTTTGTGGGACGACATAGTGGAAACGTGTGAGTGTAGTTGGAGCATATACCTTATATAATTTAAAAATCAGCTAGGAAACTAATATCAAAGTGAAGCATTTTAGTCACTTGAAGGTGTCACCTGGGTCGATCTAAGATATAATAAATATAGATCAAAGTCAAAATTACTTAAAAAACACATATTAAATTTGAGCAGTTTAGGTACTTAATAAAGCATGAGTTATGATTGATTAGGTAAATTAGAGATTTCAATTATTTATTAAATTAGACTAATGAGATATCATAATCATCAAACAAACTTAAATAAGAAACTTTAGACTGCCTAATAACATTAAGTAGACTAACAAAAGAGTTAGGATGCGGGGGGTCCGCTTAGGGAGGCAACTAGCCTTTTCATATATTGTCTGTTTATTTTGATGGTTGCTTTAAAATATCAATTTGGTATATATGTGAAAGGATGAATCAGTGGGAGATGGATTTTCGGTTTCTTTACATTTTGCAACACAAATCTAGTACTATGTGTCATTTCCTCAAAACCCCCCAATAACCGACCTCTTCAATCCCTTCCTTTTCCCATGGCGTTCAAGTGGTCCGCATAGACTATTCAGCCATTACCCGTCCTTTATCCTCGGCTTTGGATTGACGTGCGCTCTCATTGCCCCACCAAACACTGCAAAATGAAAATGAAAATGAAAATTTAGATCAGAGGAATTTAAAATCCTAATTCAAAAGTAAATTCAAATTGAATTCTAATGAGTTTATCAAAGATCTTCTGGGACAACGCCTAGTGTATTTTGGGGAAAGAGAATTACAAATAAAATTTCTGTGATTTTTTATAAATCTCTGGGAATAATCCAAGAACATTTTGTGGAAGATTTCATGCAAAACAAGCTTGGACACTTAAGGCATAAAAAGCAGAGTTCCCGAGGATATTTCTGTAGAATTAGGTTCGAATTATTAAATCCCAAGTGAATTATGTTCGATATTATTAAATCCCAAGAGAATTATGTTCGATATTCTAAGGCAGTTTTGCGGTGAATTTTACGGTTATTTTAGAGCGCGTACTAAATTTATTATGAAGAATATTCTTTTAAAAATTGAACGGCAATTGTAGAGTCAGCTCGAAAAGTTTTCTAGATAGATTTCTCAAAGTATTATGGAGTAAATTTAAAGGAATACCAGTGAGAATCCGTAGATTATTCTTGAGAAATAATGAATCGAATTGGAAATTATGGGATGATTCAAAATCATGTTTGAGAAAACTCCATAGAAATCAAGTGAAAAGCTCAATCGAAATTTTTAAAGCAATTCACATATAGGAAACAGAGCCTCCGTATGCTCAGTCGGTAAAGCCCTAGCTACAAAGCAAGACCATGCTGGAGGTGGCTGGGCTCGATACCAGGTCCAGTCTAGGAATTTTTTGGGTTGGAAAATTTCTCGACTTCCCTGGGCATAAAGTATGATTGTACTTACCACACAATTATACTAATGCAAAAATGATACAGACATCGAAAGCTCTCAATTAATAACTGTGGAAGTGCATCTAGAACACTAAGTTGAGAGTACGCAATAAGCTACTATGCGATAAGCAATAAGCTTCAAATACTAAGAAGAAGAAGATAAATGAAACATTTCAAATTTCGGGCCAAAGAAATTAGCAAGGCTTCAAGAAGAAAGAGGAGGTTGTTATATCTTATAGTTGGACTTCGAACAATTTTTCGATGCGCCGGACATGAAAAAAATCAATAAATAACAATTAAAATTATAAATTTGAATGGTTCTGAGACACACAAAGTTTACAAGATTCTGAGAAAAATAATAATATTCAAGGGGTCGAACTTCGATTTTTTTTTTGAGATTTTGAGCCTATAAAAAATTAAAGGATGGAATAAGACTGGGATACTTTAAAATACTCCTATGGTTTCAGAACCCTTTCGATCTTGAGCAATTCAAATTTGTCTATAAATATTCTTCTTCTATCATTATTTAACCGGAGACTGGTCCATGTCTGGAATATCAATAAATCGAACTTTAAAAAACGGTATTTCGGGCTTTACCAAACATATGGAATCCCAGATGTGAAAAAATGCTGAAAACAAATTAAAAATCTTCATTAATCCACCTATGGTAAGATCTGACCCTTCTTACTACATAAACAAAATTTTAAGCAACTCCCTAGGTATCCGGAATTTGTCCAGGTGTTGACCAATGTGGACCTGGGTTCTTAATGTGATTATCAATAATCTTGTTTTGGTTTTGGTACACGATGTGTCGAATGATGAGTTTGGAATGTTTCATGTTGCTTCTTGTCTCAAGACCCATACTCACCGGAACTTGTCCCTTCCATATCTCCGGAATCGTTCAATGGGACACCAAGATCATCGATTTTGCGGTATTACGTCCAATTCGGAGCAGTGGTTGATGAGAAACATGAGCGTGATCATTTCATTACACACACACATACAGACATTTTCCTATTTCGTCGAGCTGAGTCGATTGGTACATGACACTCAGCCCCACAGTCAGTTCAAAAGATGAGTACAGCCGTTTTTTATGAGTAGTTTTTTTCTCGTTATTGTTCTACTTATCAAATTTGCTACAAAATGTCTAATAATTGCATCTTTCTTCTCTCTTTCGCAGGTAAGCTTACTGGCACCGTCGGAAAGCACCCTTTATAACTCGAAACATCAGGTATTTGAACAATGCTCTACTAATTAGTAGCGTAGTAGTTGGTTCCTTTTGTTCGTCTTCCCTTGCCTTGATTTCATCTATCCAATTTAGTTCAATTTTCGGTTAATCCTATTGAGACACATCGAGAAATAAGCAAAATGTGAATTTACTTCAAACACCTTCACAAATGATTTCTCCACTTTCAACGGAAAACCAACACAGAGCCTCCAATGGAAACAGTTTCCCAAAAACCACACAAGTTGAAAGTAGCAGTAGGCTTCCCAGAATCGCTCTCGTTCGTTTATTGTTTGTCGGAGAATCTAACCGCCACCGGGAATCATTCCGACCGACTCGCCCACGCGCTGCCTTCCCTTCCTCCTACGTTCCGAAAACCCAATCGGGTAACATTCCTTCCCTAATCAACACGTACTCACTCATCATGCTGCGGTACGAGACTGAGTGTGAGGCTGGCATCACCACCAGCATGGCACAAATGAGTCTCTCCAAAAACCAACAAGGCCTTTTTCGTTAAAACCAACATTTGAAAATTGTGCGCACTTTCGTGGCGTCCTCTATCTCCGTACCTACTTCCGCACACGTAGGTACCTACGAATCAGAACAAATACCGCATCTATGTGTGGTGGCTTCGCCGGTCGGTGACTGTCGAGTCGATAGAGCAATTCTGTTATCAGCTTGAAACACAAACCGACAACACCCTTGAACATGAAAATGCTTCGAAGCTCGAAGCTGATGCAGTACTACGGGATAGGCATGAAGTGAGGGGGTGAGCAAAACAATATAATTTAAGTCGGCATCATCGGAGCCTAAATGAGTCATAACAGTCACATCACGTGTGTTTGCCAGTGCTTCAGTCTGATATGACGAGTCGTGCTCTTGGTGCGATTTGTTTGAACTACACATCCTTCTGCACTGACAACCGGAATGATGATAGTCGAAAGCATCAATTTAGGAGGAATTCGCTTGGCCTTGTGTATATGATGGAGGCTCTTCTATCCATCAATAACGGGCACCATCAAGACGTCGGAAGAGAAATGCCCAACCCAGCGGTGGTGTGCTATTGATGCACAATTACGACAAGATGTCGTATCGCTGCCGGTGACGTTGATAAGGGTCTTTTCGTGCTCTCTCCGTCCGAAACAAAACTAGCCTACGTGCGTAGGGTTTGTCATTCGGAATTTGTGATCCGTCTAATACAATTTCCGCGAAGGTTAAGTGCCAAGAAAGGGGACGCGAGCGCGCGTGTATCCATGTGCAAGCTCCCACTCAGTTTTCTCCAATCACGAATCGTCCATTTTCCACTTGCTAGCAGCAACGACGACGACGACGACTCACAAATGGAACAATATTAAGTTTGGTTTGACCTATTTGCTGGGTCCCCTTGTTCAGGAAATGGGTGATTTAATTAATCGATTGTACCATTTTCCCGGACTGGACTGTTCTGCCGTGTCGAATTTGTGTAGGAGCAAGAGCAGAACTTCGTCGCTGAAAGAAATTGGAAAGCAATTATAAAATTCTCTGTTCCATAATGAAGAGCTACTAGTTCACTGCCGTTTGCAAGATGGCCGCATTGCTAATTATGAACGTCAATTGCAAGAGACTTCTGCAGGAGAAGTAATGGGAAAATTTGAACATACATATTGCTGAAGTTATTAACATTAGTTATTAAATTTGAACAGTCCAGGGTGGAAACTCTACCATGAAATCCTGGAGAAACGGCAAAGAGCCGGGATTCTATTTTCACTTGGACCATTTTTTTTTCTCCAGTTCTCTGGGAATTTGAAAAACTTAACAGAGTTTCCAAGCAAACTCAGTTTTCTAGTTTGCGTTTTAAAGGTGTAGCAAATCAAGATTACTCAATCACATCTGGATCGTAAATTAGTCCTAGTTAAACTTTTGTTTGTAACGTTCAAAACTCTTTGAAGCGAGAGTTAAATAAATACGTTATTTAACAAAGAATTTCTTAAATTAGTTTGTTGACAATACTTCTAATACTTTGCGAAATACTTAACTAAATTTGCTAATGTACACAATTATGTGTTGTTGATGCATTCAAATTTCTTCAATCTTTATAATGACTATCTTGGCCATTTGAGGTGGTTTTGTGCTTTAAGGTCATTTTAGGGTCATTTTGATTTTGATGATCTTCGACCTTATTAAAAGCTAGTTTAGAGATATCAAGAGCACAATTATCAGCCCCCACAAAAAGGAGTTCAAATTTCATGAGCAATGTCGTAGCAGTGTCTAAGACTGGTGCTCTAGAAAACTGATGTACTACTAATATAAAGTTAGGAAACCCTCTATTAACCATAGTTCGCTTAAAGGGCGCTTATCTGGAAGTAGAAGATAGTTGATGTTTTTTTACGGACAGCCCTTAAAAATGTTTTTGTATCATAACTTTTCCATTTCTATTTTTACAGTTTTGACATGTTGCACAAAGTTATAGATAATAATAAAATGTATAACTTTAAAGAACATAGGTAGCTTAATATTCAGTAATTCCATGAAAAAAAGTACATGCACATATGTTACTTGTAAAAAAAATAGACTTGTTTTTTTTTTTATTTTGCCCTTCCTGAGTGGTCCAAAAAATCAACGTTTTTGCCTATCTATCCAACTTAGAAAATTCATAACATTTCCTCAGTACAATCATTTTGAATTAATGCAGACATGGCAGTCACTTTTAACCAATGGAGTCGCATGGTAGTTTTGAGGCAAAAACAAAGACCATTTAAAAAAATATAAATCTCAAAAATGAAAGAAATCGCCTTCCTGAATTTTCGATACGTCAAGTATAAACGCATGAGCTTTCCAAAAATATATACAACACTAGGGTGGCTTGGCACTGTGATAGCTAAAAAATTATGTTTAAATATATTAAAACTATGATCATCAGTTTCATACTTTTTTTCCTAGATAGAGGCAATGTTGGCCTTTGGATCTAAGATTGGGCCTATCGCTAAAAATATGCTATTTATCAATTTTATCTAGATGAATGTGTCATTGGAACGGTACCAATGGATATTTTTGGTCGCTATTGAAAATGTAGTCGATTGCTGAATTTATGTATGGGCCCAAATTAGGGGCTTTAGGCCGACATTACATTAATTTTCTGAAAAAAGATTGAAAATCGGTCCAGTATACCAGGACTGGTAGCGAGTCACTTTTTAGTGACTTGGTCAACTTTTTTCAAGCCAGTCACTGAATAGTCTCTTTTTTAAGTCCAAGTCACTAAAGTCACCTTTTCTTGTAATCAGTAACTATTTTTAACTTTTTTAGCGTGAATTTATTTCAAGATTGATCATTCTTTGCTTTATGACGTTTAATCGTCTTTCTCTATCTTCAGTGTGTCCACTCATTTTTCCAAATAAAATTATCTGGGTTTTCTAGGTGTTTCCAGAACTTTAACGGATAAATTCCAGGCTTATAATAAGAAAGTTATTTTTTAAATGCGTTAAAAATATGCTTATTTTTTGGTAGGTCAAAAACAACAGCAAGTAATCCAAACGTTTTAAATACTTGGCAATAAGTTTTAAAGAAAGAACTTTACAATCAAATCCATTGAATGTTGAAGTTTAACACTTACTTAATTTCTCACTCTAATAAAATAAAAAAAAATCTTTCTTAATTTGATTAAGTCCAAGATCTAAAACTTTAGATCTTAATAGCAGCTCCCTTAACTTTAGTCCAGACTTTTGGGGCAGTTTAAGGGGGTATTCCCGATCTTTTTTTTCAAAAAATCAAATTTTTTTTTTCACGTTTTTTTGTACTTTAGACTATATACTTTCATCCCCCCAAGCCGTTTTCCGATCAGCGAATTCGGTGTCCAGGCATAGTTGACTAATGGTAAGAACCCCCAAATGGTTTTAACTAAAGTCAAAACTTTAAACGCGTTTTTCTCGAAACCACATTTTTTTTATCGGGCGAAGATTTTTCTCAGAAACTATAAGAGATATTGACTTGAATCTTTGCGCATTTTGTTCCTTATTAAATTCTTTGGAGCTTCTTCCACTTTCAGCCAAAAATATTAACATTTAACATTGTTTGAAGCACCTTAAAGCTGCAAAAAAGCGGGCTAAAAATCGCCTGTTTTTTCATATGGCCGCCATTTTGTTAATTTGCTAGATTTTTTGCTGCCAACGGGAGAAGCTCCAGAGAATCTTATGCAGATTATTAATTTCATCACGAAATCTGTTTCAGATGAAGCCGTTCCAGAGAAAAGTCTTCGCCCGTCCAGGCGTTTGCGGCGAACAGGGGTCTGTTTGCCGCCATTTTGTGACGTCAATAATGTCTTTTTTTATGTCGAAAAAAATTTATTTGTAAACTTTAATGTTCAATAAACAAGAATCCCAAAGAGTTAGGCGCATTACTATTCATTTTCCTTGAAAAAAATAATTGAAAAACAGGCCGAAAAAAGGCAAAAGATTGGGAATACCCCCTTAAAGATCTATAATCGTAATCGCAAAATAATGTGCTGAATAAAAAAATCGAGACCCCTTAAGATGTCCCGAGAATTTCAGGGAAGTACAAACACCTTCAGAATTTATTAAATCTTCAGAAATATTTCAGGATCTTGACAGAATTCCAAAGAATTTCAGGGAAATTTAAAGGTGTTTACGGGAATTCCATTTATTTCCGAGCAGAACCAAGATCCTCAATAGAATTGAGAGCTTTAGAGAAGCTTTGAGAACATCAAGACAGATCAGAGAATCAAAGGGCAGTTCAAATAATTTCAAGGAAATTTTTGAAACTTTAAAGAAGTTCCGGAATTTCCGGAAACTTCAGCAAAGATCCGAGAGAACTTCTGGAACGTGATAAAAATTATATGGACATCCGGAAAACGTGAGAGTTATTTAAGGGTGTTATATCATGGAGATTTCAAGAAGTTAAAAAATGCGAAAATTTAACTAAGTTGATTAGAAAACATCAACGAAGTTCCATTATTTAAAAAAAATGCCAGAACCTTTAGCAGGCAGCGCTATCTTCAAGAAATGCCAGAGAAC